CTACCAGCTCGCCCACAGGGTTTGTTGTTCATAACTTTTATTTGATGCGATGGTGCTGAAAGATCAGCATCAGCCTTTCACAAACTAGAATTAATCAGGCAATAGCTACTACTCTTAACATTATTTAAAGAGTCAGGAAACAGAAATAATAAGAACCTTAATGACAATTGGCCTTGCAGGCCCATCACAAGGATCATCCTTTGACCGCACACTGTTATAATGCTCCCCATCATGATAAGACCTGGAAAAGGATAGTACACATAAAACCATCCAACTTCATATATGCAAGGTCAAGACAATTATTTTGCATTGGTTTCCTGAGGTATTGATATACCTTTAATCTTAATTACATGCATTATGTATAAAATATAAATATTTTGCAGCACACAAGACAATATTACAAGACACTGTCTGTCATCCCTAAAAAGATAAAATGATGCGATTCTGATAAAAAGATGTGATTCTGATTATTAACTATTAATTACCATGTACTCCAACCACAAAACAATAAGATATGTAAAAACAAAAAAAATTATAAGATTCAAATCCTTGGCAAAATTAAAAGGATTTTTCAATCACTTACAAGATTAAATGTTCACTCCTTGATTTTATCAATGTTCTTTCAAAATAATCCAACTAGTTATATTGGTTGCTTCCAGCTTCCTAAATCACTTAATTATTATTTAGTATTTACAGCACCTCGTGTTTAAATAATCAGGATACACTACAATTCTACTGCTCTATTTATGAGCATCTATGTGTTTCAAAGGTGGGTTTTAATAATTGAATGACTGATTTGAAAGCAAATGTCTCCTAATCACAAAAATGAAGACACAGTCTGCAAGCGAGTTGAAGATATAAACAATATTTTGCTTGTTTAGTCATAGATTTTGGATATTAAAAAGAAAAATATAATTTTCAGACTAAATAGACAAAGCAGTGCAATTTCACATAATAACCATAGACTCCATAGTACTTACAAGTGGATCATATGAACTCCGTGATTATCAAAATTTCTTATATACCACCGAGGGAACATGTTCTGCAAAATCACAACAATAAGAATGAGAATTTCAATTAACTTACGGTTTAATATGTAAAGTCTATCCAAGAAATTTTAGAAGCAATTATCTGTGTCTGAACAAATGTGTATTTTCAGTCTTCACATCAATGAACAAAGCTTCCGCACTTTCAAAAACAAAATATAATTGCATAGTGATAAAGATGATATAATGTGAAAATATCTCCACTATTGCATGTCCCAGTCTTCATTTGTATAAAAGTATGAATAATCTAACTGATATTAATATACCACTCAAAAAAGATGTGACAATAGAATATAAAGAAGAAGATAATTATTTTCAAGGATGCTTCTCACCCGGTGAATGCATATATTACTACGCGTTACAAGAGAAGCTGCCTGCAATTCCATATGACCAGCCCATGTACCATCGTTGTCCATGGACTGGCAATATTCATCAAATGGGACTTCGTCTTCAATAAAGGGTTCAAACATTTCCCGGTTATCCTGTTAAATACAGCTTCAAGATCAGGTTATGTGAGGGAGGTTTCCCAAAAAGTAAAGATGGAAACTATCATAGGGAAGTTAACAGATTCAGTCAATGGTTATGTATACAACTGACTATATGTATTTTCTTATGCAGGCAATCAGCAACACTTATGATTGATTAAAGATTTTCTTTTATGTTTCGCCAATTTTCCTTATATTTACTAGGTTAATTGTGAATACTTAGGTGATTAACCAGATTAAGGTTCCAACCCAATCAATTTTCTTCTTCCCACAGCTTTACATAAATAATACTATAGATTAACCAAGTATTTCAGGCCCTAGCTTTTTTTTTTTTCCTAATTTACTTATTAAGGGAAAAAGGGGCAAATGGGGGACTGTAAATTAATGACCATATCATTTTTGCAATGAATTTCAAAATCCACATGAATCAAAAACATTACATAAACAACACATAAACTTGAAACTCAAAGAGTTTAAAAAATTGAGCCAAGAAAAGAAAAGAAAAGAAAATTGTTTCCAGAACATTGTACCAATATGTGTTTCACCACCATGCTGCGGTACTTTCGATGCTCCTCCTCATTGCCTTCCAACTGATCAGCAAGGGCTCTGCATAAGAATAGAATGGTGCACGTGTTAAACTAATATATGATGCTTTACACACAATTGACTCATCATACTGTAAACACCTAATGCCACTGAAACTTGCCTACCCAGAAAGGCAAAACAAGAGAGGGGAGGCAGAGATATAATTTAATAACTGATAATGCCAAGATTATAGTGTCTTTAACCTTACATCAGTTTCAGCAAAATGATAACAAGGTTGGTATTTTGTGTGCAAGTGAAAATACCTACCATGGAAGTATATATCATGTAACAGCACACAACCCCTAACTGAAGAATACTAATACCCTATTATATACACAATACAAATAATATAGCAAGTGCAACTGGATGTGAAGCATTCAGTCTGACCTGAAGAAACAATTACCATCTGCTGTCACTTCAACAATACGTAAGCCCAGAGCATCCAACTGAGTCTGAAATTGAGAAGTATCAGCCTGTTTTCCTTGCTTCTTAATCTGTCACCAATAAATGGAAGGTCACCGATGACTAAAGTATCCAAATAACATCTATTCCTAGAAGCACTATTACAAACTTACTATTGGATTTGTCACTCGAAATATTGATATATAGGAGCTATCAACAACAACAAAAGATTTATCCCACTATGTTGCTTACAATTTGCTTGTCTTATGTTGCTTATAAAGATTGGTGCTTGAAAGATTTGTCTTATGTTGCAATATAAGATAAATCATCAAGACCAAAAAAAATAGTAATTAATATGGCTACTTTTAATTAATTCTACCACAAATTCAAGTTCAATTTCAAATATACCCTTTATTTTAAGTGGTTGTTATACTTAATGTTAATTATAAATTAATGAATAGGAAATAAAGTTTACAATAAATGAAAGATATAAAGAAATTTAACTCTAAGTAACTTTATAAACTAATGATTGTTGCTTATAATTAAGAACAAAGAAAAATCTAATTTGTTATTTATAATTAGGTCCATATTTAATACTCCTTCCATCCCATTTTGTTTGACGTGTTAGCAATTTTTGTTTGTTCCACTGGATTGTTGTTTTACAATATCAATGCAACATTAAATATTTTTTCCTATTATACCCTTAACCATTATTAATGTATTCTTTAATTATTGGTGAGAATCCACAAGGTTTAAAGGTTATTAGAAAGTCATGATTTAAAGTATGAAATGAAATGTATTAATTGTATTTCTTAAGTCTCCCAAAACCTTAAACATCAAACAAAATGGAACAGAGAGGGAGTAGTAATTTTCAAAACAGTTAAATTAATAGTAAATACAATAAGAGTTATTGTACCATCAAGTTTTTTAATACTGTCACAAAGACAAAGTTGACTTGTACAGAGAGACAGGAGGAATCCACTTACTGCAAAAGGAGGATCCACTTACTCCAAGAGTAAGTCTTGGTAGACTTACTCCACTCAATAACTTATGTTTTATATTAAATTTCAATGATACAATCATTAAATTAAAATTTCTTAATGTATAAATCATGTTCTACATTAAATTTCAACAATTCAACTATTAAATTAAAAGTTCTTAATGTATAGATAAAATCTAGAAATTTTTTAAAAAATTTGAAAATCATATAACACTTCATTATATAAATTCAAATAATATGTAAAATGTTTTTATAATTATCTATCAATTTGAATTAATAAAACGAAGTATTAAATAGTTTTAAAATTTGCAAACTTGATTTATGCATTAGGAATTTTTAATTTTACTATTGTTTCCTTGAAATTTAATGTAAAAACATGAGTTATTGAGTGAAGTAAATCTACTTACTCTTGATGTAAGTGGATTCCTCCTCTTATATATATATATATATATATATATATATATATATTAGTTAATAACACATTTACTTTTAAATGTGACATGACACAATTAAAATATATAATTGGTTGTTAGTGTAAAAAAAACTTTACACTGACAATGTATAAGTGATTAACTCTATATATATATATCCCAAAGAAAAAAGAAAATTTCATCACCAAAACCCTATGCTTAACCTTACACACAGACATATTTGACACTACATCACTGGTCACATTAACACCAACAAGATAGATGTCATCATCTTTCTCTAACCTCCATCGAAACTGTACCATAAACCACTTCTACCCCTGCCTCGTGACTTCATTATACTAGAAAATAGACACGGGTGATCCCAATTCTGCAATCTAAACTCTAAAATATTTCTTATACATAATTTTCAAAGCACAACAGAGAGCATCTTTTCAGTAACACAACACACATGCCCAATCTGAAAGAAACCACGAAAGATGCAATCCACACAATCCTCACTCAAATAAATAACTAAAATAATGAAATATGTAAATGATTATAGGGTTTCTATTGATCATTAACTACAGTAGAATTAACAAAGCATTGAGAACAAAGAGAGACATTAGGAAATAACAAATTGGGATCATAACTGCAAAATTACTATGCATGAATTATAAAACAACTAAAGATTGGTTGCAGAGAGAATAATAAGTTATAAAATTAAAAAAATTACAAAAGCTGAAACCTACTTGTGGGTGTTGTTGTTTCTTCTGGGATAGCTTCTTCTGTTGTTTCGGCTTAACCATATCCTCTTCGCAAATCGAAAAACCAGAGATTTCTCGAGATGTCTGCCTGAGTTCAAGAACGAGTGCAAGATGAACTAAACAAAAACCAACTCCGATGAGTCATCATTATGGATTACGAGCCCATGGGCTTCAAAAATATGTCAAAAATAATTTGACAGGGCCCAAAGTCAAGAATTCTCTCTTGCCTGTATTTTTTTTTCCCGATGTTAACACGCTGTTTGTTTCGAACAATAGGCACATGTAGGTTGTAACACACCAAGGTAAATGAGGAGGATTAGAGTCCTTTAATAATATTTAATATTTTAGTATATTCTGAATTGCTATTTATATCCATGTATTTTACTATCTAAAATGAATTATTCATTAGCATTTTGGCATATACAATAAATAAATATATATATATTAAATATTTATTATATAGAATTAATATTTATAATATATTATATATATAAAGATAAATATTGTATTTTAATATATAAATTATATATAAAATTTGTATTAATAGATTTTTTAAACATACAAATTATACTTTAGATTTGTTATAAATAACCAATATTAATATTATTTTTTTTGAGGGAATAATATTAATATTTTAGTTTGTACAATACATTATATATAATTAAAATTTATAATAAGTTATATATAAAAGTAAATGTTATGTTTGATTAACAAAATAAAGGCACTTTGTATCTTGTGAATATTGTGCGTGGAAGTTACAAAAATGCAAAGAAAAAATCATTTTGGATGAATAATTAATTTTTGTTTAAATTAATGAAATAAAATTATTGAATTGTCCTATACTAAAAGAAGGGAGTGTGTGGTTACAAAAATAAATAAAGAGTAAAAATGTCTTAAAAATATGTACATGAAAATATTATATTACCTATATATATTTTTATATGTATATAAATTATATTTAAAATTTGTATAAATATTTTTTTTAAACATGTAAAAATTATATTTTAACTTTATGATAAATAATTTATATTTTATCAAAAAAATTATTTTTATTTATTAAATTTTATTTTAAAATATTAGTATTTAATTTATAAATAATTATGATAAACAAAAACTGAATTGGATAAGAAGTTAAAATAATCCGTACAAACCCTCTTATTGAACAAAATCTTCTAAAAACACTTTTATATAAGATAACAGTTCGTGTTTAATATATAAAAGTTAACTGTGTAACACTATTCATTTTAGTATTAACTGTTCATTTTATTAATTAAATTAATATTATGATTAGTTGTTTAATTGTTGTGAAACTTTAAAGATTTAAGAATCCTAATTGATGTTAAGTTGACCAATTAGGGGAAGGCATATAAGATCTTTATTAAGAAATGGACTTCATGAGTTCATTTCTTAAGAACTTAGAAAGTGAGTCTAGAGAGAAGCACTTTAGAGGCTATGAGATTCTTTTTCTCTTATTGATGATTTCCTTAAGTGTTTAGATCCTTTTCCTAAGCGTATTTGAGTAGTTGAGCTGAGATTCAAAGCCTCTAAAGCGAAGAATCAAAGAGTTAGTAATTGTTGTGTAGAGTTGCTAAAAGACTAATTTCTTCCTTCTTCCTCTTTTTTGGTCAATTCAGAGACAAAAGAAGCTATAACTTGAATTCTTGGTGAATTGTATGAGTAATGTGTTGTATAATTTCATTAAATTGTGGCTAATATGTTGTTATTGTTTGGTGAGAAATCTTAGTTTTAAGTTTCTTGTAGGTCTTGGTGAAAATGAGAAGAAAGTGATGACTTGAGAAATTTATTGGTTGCATGTTAAAAATGTTGATGTATTTGAGTTAATGATGTTGTGTAGAAGTATTTTCTTGTGTTGCATGTTATTTTGGTGGTTGATTTTATGGTATTTGGAGCCAATTCGCGATTTTGCCAAGTGCAGAAATTGTCATCGCGTTAGGCGCAGATTCATGGTGCAAGGCGTGATGCAAGCTAAAGACTTGTTACTTTACTAACATTGGGTGTGGGATTGGCAACACTAGGCATGAGATAAAGGGGTATTCTTAGGTTTGGTCATGTTGAACATGGGTTGAAGGGCATCGGGTATGGATGCCCTTAGAGCTCTCTAACTTGGTGACGTCAAGTTCCAGTTGGAATGGCATTAGGCATGATTAAGATAGTAACTCGCTGACTAAATGACATCAAGCATAGGTTGAGTGGCGTCGGGCATGAGTCAAGTAGTGACTGTATGTTTGAATGAAGTCGAATGTGAATTTAGCCACGCTAGGCGTAATTGACATAAGGGCTTTCTACCTCAATGATGCCTAAGGTTAGGAGAATGGTGTTGGGTGTGAGTTGCCAAATGAAAATGTGTTGTTTAAATTGACTAAGTGTGAACATGTGTGTAATAATTTGAATTGCTCCCATGAATTATGTTGTTATATGATTCTAGCTCTATATGCATTCTAGCTCTCTATGCATTGATCTAAGATGATGTATATTGATGCTTAAGTTACTTAAAAATAATAAGTTGGTTGTGAATGACAATTGAGTTGTAGTAATGTTGTATGAAGTGTAGGGTTGATAGTAACTATGTTGAGAATGCTTAATGCATGAAGTTGAGTTGTGTTGATTGACTTAGGATTAAAAAAGATGTGTTGTTTTAAAATGTGAATATCACATTGTGAGGATGTAGTGTTGTGGTGCTCTATGAGCCTAGTTATTGAAAAACTCTTCTTAAAAAGTTGACTCTTAAAGTGGAGTGTTGAATCTCATATAGAACCTTAATTGATACAGTATAGGAGTCAGGTTGGGCTATACTGATTATAAGTGACCAAATGTAGACCCATATAAGGGTAAGGTTGAGTCATATGTGTATGAAGTAACTAATCGAGTACGATAAAAGGTCGGAGGCCAAAATTCCTAACTAAGTACTAGAAATGACATAATATTTGGAGGGTAGTTAGTAAGCTAATTCCATAATAGGCTTAGTTATGCATGCTAAGGTCATGGTAAGATCACACTCAAATTGTCCCAACCCTGATAGGAATACTGGACTTTCCTAGTTCAAGTGACAAAATCTGAGAAATCATGTTGTGTTGTGGGTTTTTATCCAAATTTATTGTTGACCTAACAAGTCCAAAAAGATCGTGTTATTAAGTTAGTTCTTTAGGATCAAGCCACTTAAATTGCTTACCTTTATTGTAAGAAATCTCTTAGTTGAAATGCTTGATGGCACATAATGTTGTCGTGAAGTTGATGTGTGGTAATGTTGCTTAAGTTGTTGTGTTGTGAAATAGTGTTGTGAACTATTGTGTTGATCACCTATTATGTTGAATAGTTGTAGTATTAACATGTTAAGTTGATATTTTAATAAGTTGTATGTCGTGTTGTAAGTTGACATGTTGAAAGTTATTAATCGGAGATTGTTGTGTTGATTCCATAAGTGTTGATATGTTGTTGTTGATAGTATAGTTGTATTTTACTTCTATATTTGTTGTGTTGTCTATTGTAGGTTTATCCTTGCATGTTTCCTTGTAGTTAGATTACAATGGTCATATTTATTATGGGAGTAGGAGAGGATAAGGTAGGAGAACGAACAAATTTTGAGTCATGTCGGAGGATGATGATATTGCTTGAGCTACCCTAGTATAGCTAGTTTTATAGTAGTTGTTTGACCAATAATTTAGGTTTATGTTTTTAGCTCTAGATTACTATATTTATATACATACACAATTATAGTTGTAGCCCCACTAAAGGATTTACTTGTTGATGAAAATTCTACACACACACACACACATATTGCATATATATCCAAGGACTATTTGCATGTTAACACTAAATGTTAACACTAAGTAATCAGATTTATGCTTTTCGTTTCTATAGTTATTGAGTTGTAAAATTTAGTGACTTGTTGGGATCCAAGGACGTTAACACTAAGTAATTAGATTTATGCTTTTCGTTTCTATAGTTATTAGTTATTGAGTTGTAAAATTTAGTGACTTGTTGGGATCCAAGGACTATTTGCATGTTAACACTAAGTAATCAGATTCATGCTTTTCGTTTCTATAGTTATTGAGTTGTAAAATTTAGTGACTTGTTGGGTCATTACAGATTGTAATATAAGTTTATTTTTATTTATTGATGATTTATTTTTAAAATATTAAAATTTAATTCATAAAAAATTGAAAGATAAAAAGTTAAAAGAACTTTTATATATTCTCTCATTAAAGAAAAATTTCTAAATGTAAGATAAATTTTCATATTTAATATATAAAAGTTGATTTTAAAAAATAAGAGACAAGGAGAAAAATTATTTTTTAAGCAAATATTTTTTTAAAAAATATATATTATCTCACTTTAAAGTTAAAAAAATCGTTCAAATTAAATAATATTTTTAAGTATTTAGATTAATGTTGTTTAAAATGAATAAAAATTTAAATCCTTGCCTTAAAAGAACAAAAATATTTTAAAGGATTTGAGTTTTTTTTTAGTATGAAGTTTAAAGAGTAATGTATTGACACAATGACGGTATAATCAAAGATAAGAACTTTAACATTATAATTTAGTGTGAATTATCAACTTATTTATTAAAATTATGACGATGAATCTATTTGGTCTCTAAAATTAATAGAGTGACAAAATAGTTTTTGAAATTATACGTTATGAATTAATTTAATTCTTGAAGTTGTAATGATGAGTATATCTAGTTTCTAAAGTTAATAACATTATTATTTTGTCATCTGTTTTTAAATGATAAGAATAAAAAAATATTTAAAATATAAAATTTAAAGATAAAGTTAATAACGATATCGCCTTCGTCCAGCCACCACCGCCTGCCGTCGCGCCCAACTGCCATCGTCTGCCGTGTCACCGTCAAGCTTGATATTTACTCACTTTGAAATATTGTGATTGGCGGGACAATATTGGAAAACCTTTTACTGTTAGGAAAGTGAGTGAATGGAGTCGGTGAGAGACACAAACCCTACAATGTCGTCGGCCCACTACTGTTAATGGTAGCCAAGCCCCTTCCTGTTTGCGTCGACCTTGCACAAGTGACCTCCGCTCAAGCCCTTCTGCGTTGGAAGCCCTTTGTTTCCCGCTGTCTGCATTGCGCTTGTCGCACTCCGCACTCAGTGCAAGCTCGAGAAGGTCACGACATCGTTTTAAAAACTGGCAGCACCTCGCGTCGTCTTGATGGCCACCGTTT